GACGTGCATTGGTCACTTCCTTCTCCGCGAAGCCCTTCTCAGCCCTGCCCAGCCCCTGGCCCGGCGCAGCTCCTGCCCCCAGCGTCCTCTTCCTCCCAGTCTCCGCGTGGACAAGCAGCAGTACACTGCCTGCTCCCGGCTGGGCTGTGAAGGCGTGGCCTCGCTCTCAGCCCTGCACTTGCTGTCTGGTCGGGATTCGGTGGAGGACTAGGTCCGTCCCCTGGTGACGGCAGTGAATCCAGCTCCCCAGGTTGTCCCGTTGGCTCCCAGCTTGTATTTAGGGCATTGCAACAATCTGACTTAATTGAAAATCCTCTGGGTAAATGTTTGTTTTTTAATTGAGAGATAACATAAATAAAGTACATAAAAGTGCAGTATCTCAGGTGTACATAAGATTACAGTTATGTGTAATTCAGGTCAAGACAGAACACATTTCTGGCATTCCACACGGATCCTTCTCAGCTAATAACCAGCCCCGCCCATCCCTCCCTGCCAGCTCATCCCCATTCTGACTTACAGAGGTGCCTTTTTAAAGGTTTGGTTTTTTTTTCTTTTAATTGTAGTAAAATACATATAACAAATAACATCTACGATGGATTAGCCATTTTCAAGTATACAATTCATTGGCATTAGGTACATGCTTTCAAGCTTTCTTTACATTTAAATGGCACTGGGTCATACTTGCTTGGGGTAAAACAACTGAAGGCTATAGCAGCAACTAGAGCAGAAAGTGAAAGTTCCCCCACCCTCAGTGTCTGCCTCAGAAGGAGCCACTGTTTTCAGTTTATGTATCCGACCACACCTTGCTTAATGTATTGTCATGCAAATATCTAGCAACGCAGGAAAACATGAGCTATCTGTACCTGTTTTAGATTGGCAGTTTTGGTTTTTTGACTGTAAATGGGAGCCTTGATTAATGGATTGATTGCAGCTACCGTTTCCTTGCACAGTCCGTGTCCGGCCTTGCTAAGGGGTTGTGTGTACTTAGACCTAGTGGGGGGTGTTGTGATTGGGATCTGTGCCATTGGCGCTGCTGCCTCTCCTCTCAGACACCGGCCTCGTGTGTTTCCATCCTTCTTCCTGACCCTCACTGCCCTTATAATCTGCTCTGAGATCCCTAAAAGGCCTTAGTTATCACTGACCCCTGGGGGGAGGGGATCACCTCAGTATTCAACTTTTAAGCAAGGCCAAAACCTTAGGTTGGAGGGGTCACAGCTGGTGGAAGGCATTAACCAGCAGGCAGGGACAGACACTTTAGGAGACGGTTAAACCCTCAGGCCACCCCAGAAGTCACATTGCTGGCCCCAGAAGCCAGCCTGAATGTCTAGCCAGAGCCCCCAGCTCTCCCCTGCACCCCCCACTTGGGGACCTGGCAGGATCTCTGAGATCAGGGAGAAGCGCCCCGACTCCACGCTGCTCCGGCAGCTCAGGCTTCAGGTGTCTGGGAGATGAGCCCTCAGCGAAAGCCCACCTGCGCATTTGGGAAACAGACCTTGTTTGCAGAATACGAAATTCCTCCGCAACACGCGTGGTGTGCTTTCTTTTCGAGAAGAAAAACCCAGGCCTTCTCATTTTTGACTGTGAAGTGGGCTTCGTCACTTTGAGTTGGTTTCATCGCACTTGGCTATTCCAGGAGCTGTGCGAAGTTCAGCTCCTGGGGTGTCAGGCAACTTTTTGCTTCCCTTCCTCCCTTTTTCTTCTTCTTTTTGTTGTTCTCGCCTTCACTTTGGATACAGAATGGTGTAGGCAGCCATGAACGCACTCAGCAGCCAGCCCACCCCATCGAGGACCTGCCCTGCTCCAGGCACTTGGTTTAGTGTCGAGAGCACGGGGGTGGGGGGTGGGGGCAGGATGGACGGGGCCTTCTCCTGGGGGCTTCCGTCTGGAACACCTGGACCATCCAATGTAACAAGGAGATTCCAGAAGGCTCTTGACCGGAGCAGCAGGAATGATCTAGAGTCTTTACCCACGTTTCCCAGCTTGCCCTATCAGCTTCTTCATGGTAACGGTGGGGTTTTGATGTTGTTAGTAATAAGAAAAAAATATATTAGATTTTTTAAATACGGAAGAAGAAAAAGGAAAACTAAAGTCCATAATTCCAGTGTCCAAATGATCCTTGTTGAATTTTTTAAATGTTAACATGCGTACGCGATTAGAAATGTCAAACTCAGTGGGAAGATATGGAAATGAAAAATTTTAAGTGCACGTGTGTGGGTGGGCACACACAGTGCCACCTACCTTTCTTTCCCTAAAGATGAAATACTGATGTATTTTTATGCAGCTTTCCAGGAAAAGTGGTGTTTATGCCATCAGGTGGAGCCTTGGAAAAGCTTAACCTGACAGGGACCCTGCAGTGTTCCCTCTTCTCGCTTTTTCCTCCTGGTGCTGTTTCTGTCTCACTAACTCTAGGTATAAAAACACATCAGCCTTATTAATCTCTACGTGGATTCCCACTCTGTGGATAGACCGTAATTACCTAACTGCTCCCCTGTTGATGGACATTTAGGTTATTTCCAGCTGCTTACTGAGTCGGTTGCGTTTTAAAGGTTTGAAATTTCCCCAGCAAGCATGCCTTCCCTTCTTCCATTCCCCAACACCTGATCATCGAGAAAAGCATATCCCTTTGGAAAGTTTTAAAATTCATTTTCACAGTTGATTTTTTTTGTTGTTGTTAATGTAGGCAGGGAAAGGAAGTAGTTGTCATTCATATGTTGGGTGCTTACTGTATTGCCAGGCGCTGAGAGAACTTGATATCCATGATTTCATTTAGCTCTAGGTCAGAATTACTTGCCCCATGTTTCAGGCTGAGAACCTGGAGCTCAGAGAAGCCCCACGGCTCAGGTAGCGTTCACCTGGGGTTCAGCTCTGACCAGCCGTGGGCTTCGTGCACCGTTTCACTTCCCTTAGTTCTGTCATTTGTTCTGTACATCAGTGCCCACACACAGCTCAGGGAGAGGTTTCTACATCCATCCGTGTGAGTTTCTGCTCGTCACATCTGACTGGGCGGTGGTTTGCTCTGCGTTTGGTCTCAGTTTTTTGTTTCTGAAAGCTTTGACTGTGTATGGCGTGCTCTCACCTTCGCTGGGAGTAAGTGGTGATTGGAGGAAGCAGTCCTTTCTTCTCGGAGCCCTGACTTGGGTTCAGGTCCTTCAGGAGAGGATGGGGTGGGGGTCCAGGGCTGCGTTTGTTCGATCCCAGCATCCTGCGTGGGTTCTGATGGATGCTGTCTGTCAAGCGGTGCACGCTCCGCACGCCCCCATCTCGGGGCTCCTGGTGGTTGGCGTCTGTAATGCGCTATCTGGGTTTCCTGGACACGGGAATCATGTCTCAATTCATCTGTCATTTTTGTGGATGAATAATCCTAAGTGGGTAAATAAAAATTAATGTTTGGATTTGGATGCTAATTTAGCTTTCAATTACGTTTTATTTTGAGTGTTATTGAAATTAATTTGTGTTCCTTGAGCATAGCCTATTTATTGGCAAGGTACAGTGGCCCCCAGAATACAATTGGTGGTTGTTTGGGGTAAATTCAGAAGATGGATAAACCATATCAAGATAATGGAAAAGTTTGCTTTAAAACTTCTCTCTTTTGTAATGACAAAATGATATCTGAACATCATCCAGACCCTGGGAAGAGAAAAACACTGCAATTGGAATCCTGTGTCAAACGCATCAGACAGTTTTCTTTTGTCTTTGCTCCTTTCCAGTCCTGGTCCACTTGCATGTAAATACTTTTTAGGGAGTACTAAATATGGAACTACGTTTGAGCTCCTGGTGAAGCACTGTTGTTTTAGGAAGAGTTTGGGCTTTGGGGTTGGGCAAGCGTCTATTAAAATTCAGACCCTGCTGCTCAGCAGCTGTGTGACATTGGGCAAGTCACTTAACACCTCTGAGCCTCTATTTTCCTATCTATAAGAGGGGACCGACAATCCCATTATCTCCTGGTTGTTATAAGGTCTAAAATACAGCCGTGTTTCCCACAATATGGGACATGAACCACTGGTGACAGGCCTGCTTCATTTCTCTTAGAAGTCCTCTGACTTTTTAGGGAAAAACTTCTTCTTTTGGGGCAGGCTTCCATTGAGGATGAGCTTTAACTTATTGCTGGTGCTTGCCGGGCTTCCGGTGTAAAGACATTCAGCGTTTGGCTCTGTCCAGTCACCTTGCTTTTTCTTTTCTGTTATTTATTTTTATAATAGCAAGGTACACTGGTGTTTCATTTCTTATTTCTTTCTTTCTTTTTTTTTTTAGAAATTTTGTTGGGGAACAGTGTGTTTTTCCAGGACCTATCAGTTCCAAGTCAAGTGGTTGTCTTCAGTCTAGTTGTGGAGGGCGCTGTTCCGTGGCCCATGTGGGGATCGAACCAGCAGCCTTGGTGTTATGAGCCTGCGCTCTAACCACCTGAGCTAACCGGCCACCCCTGGTGTTCCATTTCTTATAGTGCTATACCGCTGCTTTAAAAATAAATTTATCTAAATTCAAAGTTGATAATAACATCAGTGTGCTGTAGTTAAGACCTAAATTGTACAGGTGGTATGTGGGTTCGAATCCCAGCTCTTCCGCCTCTGACTGTGTGACCTTGGGTGGGTCATTTAACATCTCTGAGCCTCAGTTTCCTGTAAAATGATAACCACAGTAATATCTCATGAGGTTATAAAGTTTAATCAGTGAGATACTATAGCCAAGAGCTCTTAGAATAGCATCTGGCACATACAAAGTAAAGTGTTAACACAAGTGTGTTTCTTATGCAAGTGACTGCCCTTTGGGAAGCTTGCAGCTGGTGCTGATGAAGTGTCGAGTTTCTGACTTAGGACAGTGGGCCGTCATCCTAGCCGGGGCTGTCGTTTTGATAAATAATGATGATGTTAACAATAGTCATAATAATAAACGAGGAGGTACCCTGTGTCATTTTGGAAATGAATTACCTGGGGCAGAAACCCTGGGGCAACCTGTTACGCCAAGGTTCCAATCCGCCCGCTGTCTCACTTTGATTCTCCTAGGCCAAACCCAGCATTCGGTGCTTCATTAAACCCACCGAGTCGCTCGAGCGGTCCCTTGAAATGAACAAGCACAAGGGCAAGCGGCGGGTGCAAAAGAGACCCAACTACAAAAACGTTGGGGAGGAAGAAGACGAGGACAAAGGGCCCACCGACGATGCCCAAGAAGACGCCGAGAAGGCTAAAGGTACAGAGGGTGGTTCAAAAGGCATGAAGACGAGTGGGGAGAGAGAAGGTGAGTGCGCCCGCGAACGCCGCCCTGCCGCCCACGCTGCGCGCCACGCTGTCGTTTGTGTCCGGTCCCCCCTTTGTGTGTCAGCGGGTGCTTCTCTTCGTTCCTGACCGGTGTACCTCACTCTATTCCACCCGGCCGTTTGGAGGCAGATCTGGTACAAGGCCTGCCCTCGCTGGATGGACGACCTGGAGCAGGGTTCTTTACTCTTAACTCGTGCCTCAGTTTTCCCATCTGTAAAAGAGGGTAACAACTAGTATTATGAGAATTAAATGAGTTACTATATGTATCATGCCCAGAACAGTGCCTGGCCTGTGCTATAAATATTTGCTGCTGCTGCTACTGTTGCTACCATTATTATTATCATCTTTATCAGTATTGCTGCTCTTATTATTCCCGATAACCCGGGATTGTGATTTTTGACAGGAGTCATTATTTCAAGCGCACTGCAGGAAGGAAAGGGGCCAGTGTTTCATGAGCTTAGGTGCTTTCGATGAGATTGGATTTTTGGAATCAAATCATCAACTATAATCCCCTAGATTCTTATGTTAAGATTTTTATAAGTCCTGTCTGTTTAGAGTGAGGTCCACTGTGTTTGGCGCCTATGTGCTCAGTAAGCAGAATAGTTCAGTCCCCTTTTTGCCGTTGTCAGGAACGATTCTGTTTGACTTCCCACCTCCCTCTCATTTAGATGCTAAGACCTTCTCAGCCTGGAGAGCATGATCTGCTCTGGGATTAAGCAAGCTTAAACTGTCCAGTTCCTTGTGTCATGGGTCAGGCACACAGCCACACAGATGGGGGCCCTGGCCACGGCCCCAGGCACTCAGGGTGAAGGAGGTGATGGGGGGGAATGTGGGGGCTCTACTCGCTGGACGTGAGCTCTCACCACACCTCCAAGGACAGACATGGGCTGTCCTCAGCTCCCAGCCGTGGGCCGCTGGGGATGTGGGGAGACTTCCGGAAGCCATCCTCCTAGGTCCTGGGCCAGCAGGGGCTGCTCCAAAACCAGCTCTCCGTGGCCCATCAGTCTGCACTGTGTGAGTCCCTAGTGCCAGCCATCTGAAGCTGGGAAACAGTGGCTCAGTAGATCAGCAACTGGGAACTCATGTTTGGGGAGTTTGCTGCAATTATGTAGTGCAAACCCACCCCGTCCCCATCCCGTTGACCCCATTGTGATTCTTGGTGGTTCTTAGTGAATGCCACAAAGACATTTCGAGAAATGTCACCAAAGCATCTCTCTGGTGCCACCCGGCCCTCTTTTTGAGGCTGAGATCTCCAGCATGCTTTTATTTCTGCTCAAAATATGGAGTCAGCGTTTTGGTTTAGAAATTCTCTTTGGCTCAGAAAACCTTTGCCAACAATTATCACTTCAGTGGGGGGTGGGGTGAGGGGCAAACACAAGGGAAGCCATACTTGTTTGCTTATTTGGATCATTTGGATTGTTTTTCAACTCGGAAGATAATTGATTTGCTTAAACCCTAGGGTTAGCTGTTTTGTAGCCGCACCAGGGGGAAAAGGGACAACTTTACCCCATTTTGTGCTCTCATTGATTTTGTTTTGGAAAGATGCTATCTCTTTCATTCCAGTCCTTTTAAGGGCTGCTCTCTAAGCAGGCCTGGGCCATGACTAACAGTGGTGTGGACGGGGTAGGCTTGGCCTCAAGCACACAACCGGCTGAATGACTCAGCCGGGCGGCCCAGTCCTGGTGCACGGGGCTTCCGTGGCTTGGCAAGGGCCACCGTTCCACACTGAGCCCACCTGCTCTGTGCAGGAGGCAAGGGGGCAAATGTTCACCAACTCCCGAAAACATGTCTTCCGGGTGGTCTCTTGGCCAGGTTGTGTCAGATAGAGCCCAGGCATTTCCCCAGAGGCTTTGGACATTTGGTGCAGACTTCAGAGCTCAGCCGAGTGTGGCTCTCAGTGACCCTGTCAGTGACAGGATTTTGGTGTCTTATTATTCTCTGAAACATGCATGGGTCTTCTCACCCAGCTCACCATGAATAACTACAGTGTTCACAGGCCCGTCCAGCAAAGAGACACCTGGCTGTGCAGCAGGAGTTTTATTCTGGGGCTTTTTAAATCACATGTTTGATCTCTTAGTTATTCTTTTTTAAAAAATAATTTTTTGGGGGAGAATTGGGGAAGGGGAACAGTGTTGGGGAATTGGGGAAGGGCAACAGACAAGCTGCTGTCCTTTTGTTCTTCAGTCTAGTTGTGGAGGACGTCACTTCACTGGCCCATGTTGGTATTATCATTGTGCTCTTCCCGGGTGAGGCAGTCGCTAGCTGGCCATTGGACGGCAGCTCACAGCAGCTCACAAAAGCTCATGCCAGCTGCCGGCCAGCCCCACTGCAGCCTACGCTGTTGCTGGCAACTCACGGCAGCCCACCTCCATGTCGAGCTATTGTTCACCATCTTAGCTGTGGGCGCAGCGTCACTGGCCCTCATGTGGGATCTGAACCAGGGCCCTGCTGCTCAGAGCTGGCGCTTCCAAGCCAACTCTTAACGCGGCACTTGGCCGGCCCTCTTAGTTATTCTTATATTTGAAGGCGCGGCTGGTGGGTGTTCTCTCCTTAGACTGTATCTGTGTTTGGGTAAAACTGCACAGCTGTCAATTCCAGTGATTTGGAAGGGCGTCAGGCACATTTTCTCATTCAATTTCAAGCCAGAAGACAGTGCAGATGGGGAGGTGCCTGGGAGATGGGAGATCTGACGTGCAGCCTTGCAGCCCTATCTTGACGTCTGGGTTTACCGATGGTCTCCTCAATCTCAGGGCCTCAGTTTCCCTTCTTGGAAGTTCTGAGTGTAGAAAATATAATTCACGTGACAACTTTTTTTTTTAATGAGGATATGTTAGGATTCTTGAGTTTGTAAGATTTAGGACTTCAACTCAGATTGGCTTAAGCAAAAAGGGTGATTACTGTTCGTGTAACTGGGAGGGCGAGGCAGGGCTGGACCTAGGTGCAGAGATGACTATAGGCAGTGCCAGGCTCGCATCCTACCAGCTTACCACCAGATGGAGAGGTAGCTACTCCTTCCCGCTGGCCACAGCTGAAGTCAGGGGGCTGATGCCCAATATCCGTTGGTGCTGATTGGCCTGTCCTGGGTCACGTGTCTGCCCTACAGTGCCGCCCTTAGTAAAAAATGAGATGCGTTCATCAGAAGAAGGGGGCATCGATGCTGGGCCAGCAGACACAGTTGGTCCCCTCGAAAGCCACTGTTTCTGTGTATTCCTTATTGCCTGAAGGCTTTCTTCTCCCTTCCTGTTTTGAGGTAGATAGGGGGCTATTTTCTGCTCCAAACTCCTTCTCTAGCGAGTTTCTTGCATTACCTATGGATCTAGGGGCTGTTGACAGCCTGGTTGTAACAGACAGGTACAGGTGACTCTTCAGTAGAGAGATACTGACGCCAGTTCCCCCTGCTACTCTGCCATCCCATGTTAGTGGTGAAATCTTAACAAGGTGGCCTAAAGCACTGGAGTAAAAGGGCATGTGGTTACAAGTCACAATTTTGCCATGACCTGATTTGAACGTGGCATTAACATATTTTTTTCTACAAATGCAGCACCCCAAATTCACACCTCCTCCACATGTAAGCCCAGATGAGGAAGTCGTATGAAATGAATGTGCACCCTTGGACCCTCCACGGGGGGTTTACAGAGAAATTTGCTCTGCCTCTGTGATGGGCAACTCATTCTGAAACCAAGAAAATCACAGGGCCCCTAAATGTTCAGAAATTGAATACTTAAAGGAAGACAAGGGGTGCCCTGGTCCCTGCAGCCAGAGGCTTCACTCGGATGTGTGTTCGTGCCTTTGCTTGCTCTTCAGTCTGAACAAGCATTCATCTCTTTTTGGAATCACTTAGAGCAGTAACTTAATAAACATGCCAGAGACAAGAGAATGAATCGTTCGAACTTCTTGTTTGAAAAATACGGTTTGGCTTCTGTTTTTTGCCTGTGGAAAAAGTAGGCATCGATTTCGTGGCCTGACCTTCAAAGCCTACTCTTGTCTTGGAATCGCAGCAAGGGCATGGAGTACAAGTGACAGCACTGACTTTCAACCTGCCAGGTCAGCTGGGAGTTAGCAGCCCCGGCTTTTCTTTTTCCTTTTTTTTTTTTTTTTAAGTCTACTGACATGAAATGGAACCTGGCCTCATTTCTGGCTCCTCTTGTAAAGCCACAGCAAACCCCAGGCCCAGCAGAGCTCTCTGATTGGAGTGAGCCAGGGACTGTCTTAACAGGAGGTCAGGGTCTGAATCCCAGACCTGCGGGCCTGCCCCTGAGCAGCCGTGTGACCCTGGCAAGTCATCACCCTTTCTCTACCCATAGAGGGGGCTTTACAATGCTCAGCCCACAGGTTGTCAGAAACGAGGGCATGGGTGCCTCAGCATTTTTAGCCCGGGACACATGAGCACTGAATAGGAATGCCGGCGGAGGTGGAGTGCACAGGGAGGAGCTTGGCTAGGGGGCTGGGGGGAGACAGGGACTTGGTGCTTGGGCACCTCAGCGAGTTTCTGTGGGGCTTGTTTCCATGTTAATTTCTATAAGGAATAGTGAGGTGGCTGGCTGGTTGGCTGGGTGTGTGTGTGTGAGAGAGAGACAGACAGACAGACACGGGAAGGAGGAGAAGGGTTGGGAGGCTGGTCCACTGTAGTAGAGAGCTGTAGGAGGGCCCCCCCTTTTCCAGTGGGCCTAACTAGTAGTATAAAGAGAAGGACTGGAGTTCAGTTTAGACAAATCCTCTGAAAAGCAACTTCCCAGAAAAACATTCTGAATTCAACCTCATGCTATTCAGTAAAAGATAATATAAAGCAAAGGAAGAGGCCCCCTACATACTCAGCAAATACACATCCTGTTGTTGCCAGGTGCTGTTTGCCTCTTGAAATTCTGCTCCAAAGCCAGCCCATAGAGTGCAGTCCTTCCCTGTCCCTTAGGAGACCAGCGAGGGCATCTTTCTCCTCCTTCCCTTAACCTTCTCTCGAAGGCCGTCTTATCCTTTCTTTCC